GGGTCCTTAATACTCACAACCTATATCAGGGGTAGTAAGGACCCCTAAAAAGTATCCTACACTCACAACCTATATCTGGAGTAATAAGGATCCCTAAAAAGTATCTTACACTCACAACCTATATCAGGGGTAGTAAGGACCCCTTAAAAGTATCCTACACTTACAACCTATATCAGGGGTAGTAAGGATCCCTAAAAAGTATCTTACACTCTCAACCTATATCAGGAGCAGTAAGGACCCCTAAAAAGGTTGATAGCTTGATAAAGAGTTATGAATATTAATAAAGTCCCAGGGCCAATACCTCCAGTAATGAATGTAAGTTGCAGTAGTATATAAATATCTCCGGGATTTCGACGCGGGATCATATTATCACTCAGCCCGGCCCGCTGTTAGATAAACATCTCAAGGTGATATCATCCCGCCCCGGAAATTTGTATAAACCCGGCCCGCTTTTTAGTCGTAACTGATGTTTATCATTCAATTCTCCGACTTACAATAATCAATGATACTGCTGATTAGAACTCGATAATAGTAGAACAGTTAGACGCGCGATCACGTGGGCGCGTCACGTGCGTACCACGTGCCACCAATAGCATACGCCGAGTCTATACCACGTGACACGAAAGCGCACCACGTGATATGAAACATCGTAACCGTCCACTTCTTTTACACGCAAATTCCTGGGAACGTTACTAACGCAGCTAATTCTTGGAATTTCTCCAACGCGTGGCGTGAGAAGTTGGCGACTAGCCAGCTACCCTTGTCCGTGCCCTAAAAATAGTATTGTTTTGCTTGCTCTCCTTCCAGCTCTTGTTCCTGCTAACGTTCAAGCTATTGCTCCACTATGACAGATCGGTTTAAACTATTTTATCACTCTCTTCTAAAGTATAAATCCCTTGTCGAAATCGCCGGAGATAATTATAATCCATAAACACTTCACGCTCAGGGCTAAATAAATGTAATCCCTCAGCTGGCGCTTCGGGATTACATATTAACACAAAACTCGTGCGCTGCGCGCACTCGTATGTGTTTATCAGATCATCCCGCTAGCGCGGGATGATCTGTTATATAAACCCTTTGCGTGGCGGGTTTATGTTATTGTAATAACAGGGCTCAGTAATGGAGCCCATTAAAGATAGTTCCTGGACGCAGACTCTGTCCAATCCTCGCTGTGGAATTAACATTATCAATAGACACTTTATCTAATATTGGGTCTGCGAACCACCCTCATTTATATTCATAAGCTGTTAACAATCTCTCAGCCCCGATAGTCTCTCTCAGTAAGTATTAGTGTCTGACGAAATGATTTATCTGCTGAGTAAAAAGCCATTCATCTCGGACTATTATCTTTCCGGTATTTACCGCAGCGGTTTAATGTTGGCAGCTGTTACTCAATTTACTAATGCTAGTACCTCTATCGTTTCAACAATAACAGACAATATGTGACTGTATGTCACTATATGTGACTATATGTGACTATATGTGACCACACTGTGGTGACCAATAACCCACCACGCTCTATACTCCTCCACAGTCCATACAAAACCCCGTACTTTTGACTCTGACCGTACTGTAACCACATTGTAACTATACCAGACTGCAACCAGAACCATGCTAGAACGAGTGGTGTATCAGTTGGAAAGAGTGATGGAATGTGTTTAGTTTAGCGTGCTTAACTCAAAGCAGTATTGATGTGATTTGAGCGCAACAATGCTGTCTCCTGTCAACTACTTGACGATTTTTAGGCGGTGAATCAGAGTCCTAGTGTCAACTACTTGACGAGATTCCGGTGGTAGATTTAACTGGTGGAGGTTTTGTAACACTGATATAATGTTCTGATTTAGAATTGGTGGTTTTAGATTCTCATTAAGGTCAGCCATTTAAAAATTAATTAAAAATCAGATCAACTTTAACCGGACCTCTTTTATTCGATGCTACGGTAAAAATTACGCCATGTAAATTAAATCCAGAGTTTCTGGAGTATCGGGCATAAAATACCGTGAGTTCTTTACTATAATCTGATAGTGAGTGTTTACACTGTTTGTTAGTGAGTGTTTACACTGGGTGTTCTTTATACTGATCAGCATGTAAACTTTATTGGTCCTCCAACTAAACTTAAAAACCTGCAAATCCCTAATAAAATGATTCATAACGCTGTAACAGTAGGTGGCCATTAAGAGAACTGCTCAAGTTGTGGCTACTGAGGAACTAATGACACAACAGTGAAACACACCCCCCTCTATTATACCTTCTCTCTTCGGAGACGTGCAGTTTTCCAAACCACCCAATTGAGCAGTGTGACAGAAGTGCTGGGAACTATAAAGGGCCGGAGCTGCATTGTTTTTTATAGAATGTCATTAAATACCCTCGGTAAGTGAGTAAAGCAGTAGCACCTATATCTACAGGTCATGATACTCAGCTTCAATTCCAATTGGCAACTTTTATTGAGACTGCTGCATAATGCAAGTCAAACAAACGGCTGGACGGTATCAGAAAGTGGAGTTAAGAAACCAGCGTGTCACGTGATCTTTAGAGTATGTCACGTATAGTTTTGAAAGTGCACGTGGGCGGCCCATGTGACTGTTAGATATCACGTGACAGGCCAGTGACGCAACCTCCCCTTGACTATCAATGGTTAACGAATTACTGTTTCTACCTCGGCTGATGTTGAATGGAGGTGTTTTATGGCACCCTAGCTGCTAGGTCAGGCGTATCATCTACCTGCAATAACCATTATTACAGCAGCTTATATATATATATAATACCTACAGATACCAGATATTGGTGTTTTCTTACAGCAGCTATCTACAAAATATACTGGTATATTTGTGTTTTCTTCGCAACGTGGCCATAGCCCTTGCCCGCAAATATCTTCTGATAGTTTCTGTGGAAACCATCCTTCTGTAGAAATATTTATTTTTATAGTCTGAATCATAACTCATAACTGGTATGATTTTAATAGCACAAAGTCTCATTAATGCAAGTATTTTTCTTTAGATAGATATCCCCTCGAATAGATAGGGATTAAATATACTGTATTTAATTAATTAGGAAGTTGGATACAGTTGTATTAGCTCTTTTACTTCCCAGTAAGTTACTGAGAAGTAACTGGTAATTACCTAACTGGTAACTGGTAATTAATTAACTGGTAACTGGCAATTAAATAACTGGTAACTGGTAATTTAATAACTGGTAACTGGTAACTGGTAAGTAACTAACTGGTAACTGGTAATTGAATAACTGGTAATTTAATAACTGGTAACTGGTAACTGGTAACTGGTAAGTAACTAACTGGTAACTGGTAATTAAATAACTGGTAATTAAATAACTGGTAACGGGTAACTGGTAATTAAATAACTGGGAACTGGTAATTAAATAACTGGTAACTGGTAATTAAATAACTGGTAACTGGTAATTAAATAACTGGTAACTGGTAATTTAATAACTGGTAACTGATAATTAAATAACTGGTAATTGGTAACTGGCCACCACACACCAACTCACCAATAAAAGACTGGGGAATTGTAATCTTCCTGGTAACTGGCCACCACTACTTGCTTCTCCAGTAATCGAACTAGCCTACCAGCAGGGACCTGTAAAGTTTTTGTTATGACAACTGTACATTGGTTTCACGATTTCCCCTGAGAAAAAGAAGGAAAAGAGAAGATAACATTAGTAGCTTCTGGCAAGCAGGATAAGAGGCCCAATCAGTGCAGGGGCAGGAGGGGGCAGGAGGGGGGCAGGGCTCCCTACTCTCGACTATCCCAGTTCAATCGAGCCCAACAAGCATTGGGAATCCCTCGCATTATCGTTTATATGCTATGCTCTGCTGCTCTGCTGCTGTGTGATTGGCAGGGCTGGACCACGTGACAAGAGGCTGACCAATCAGAGAGCAGGACGTAACAGGGCGACCAATGGGAGGAAAGGAGGAGAGTATGGCCGGTAAATCTGCGAGTGATAAGTTGTTGACGGACTTTCTAACACCTCGCTACAAACTTGGAGAGTCCCCCTTTTCAGCAGAGCATTTAACACGGGCTTTCTAATCCTACTTACCAAGATTTGAATTGTCGTGAATATTTTCCATTAATATCACCGTCAAGGATATTACATTTTTCAGTTAAATATTTAACCAACAGTGCGGGACCACGTGAAGGGTCGGATAATGGAACATGAGAAGTTGCGGCGTGATCTTCCTCAAGTTATCGTGGTCAAGTCACGTGGTAGACAATAGCCATATAAAGGCATACTTGTCATATTACGTCACGTGGTTCACGATAGCTATATAAGGGCATTCGCGTCATGTCACGTGGTTGACAAAGACCATGTAAGGGCAGCACTGTCAAATCACATGACACACGCAATTTACCAGGAATTTGAGTTTGTAAGCAAACTCAACAGTCAGCTGATCACTATCACTGTATGTCTTCTCAAAGCATCAGAACTTTCGTACAGATAAAAGTTTCACCGGGAGAAATTAGCATACTAAGAAGAATAATTCCTTTCCTGATAAGAGCCTTCTCCTTGTCGCATCAAACGGGATCAGTACAAATTCTACCCAAGAAACATTTAAACCATGCGACTTATAAATAATGTTCTGGATTTTACAGGGGAGAAAGCAGGATTTTACAGGGGAGAAAGCAGGATGATAATTTTCAACAAACTAAACAGTCCTACTAATACTGTTAGGGGTGAACCCATTAATGGGTGGTCCCTAAAGGCTTTGTTTAACACTCAGTTTATTTTATAAGAAACGTTCGAGAATTTAGTGAAAGTTATTTATGAAAAAATGTGAGTTTACTCCAGGAGGAGAGAAAATTTAGAAGTCTCTTTATAGCTCATAAATTGACAACATTTTTGATTTGTGGTTATTTTTTCTTCGAAAAAGTCTGAAAACGGTTATATTTTCCGGATTTTCCAGATCGTTTGATAGATTTTCAGATCGTTTTTTATATAATAAACTTAGAAGTGTACTGTTTACTACCAAGAAAAACTCAGAAATTAAATTTCTGAAAATCAATGATACAGCGTACAAACACGCATATATTAAATAATCATCAGCATGTTAATTATCCAATTAATTAATTAATAGCATAGTTCGGCTTAAAGGCACGGTTGTTATGACAACAGAGCCCGGTAGTTAGGGTGAACCAGAAGTGCTGTAGTTAATGATTGGACCTTGTCAGATTCTAAACAACCCTTCACCTAGCTGCATATGGTCAACTGTACAGCTTCGTTAAAATAATTGCAATATTGTGTCAAATAATAAACCATATAGACCTGTCGTGTCTTACAAATTTAAAAATTCAAAATTCTCGCGGAAAATTAACCGAATATTCTAGAAGTTCAAAACTGCCGTAAAAATTCGTCAAGCAACACTATGTACTACTACACTGCAAATATATCTAGAATTCCTTGGTTATCACTATCAGTCCTAATATGGTCATGTTACAAGTCCAAATGCGGATAACAAATATATCTATAACCCCCTGGCAAATTATCAACAATCTCACATTTTCTGGAAAAAGTAATTTCATCTATGATAAATAAATTGATAAATATAATAAACTGTGTTCACTTCTACACCAGAATGCTCTTGCAAATCATCTCTACGATAAATGTTAAATAAATAAATAATGACAATATTATTATTATTATAAAAGAGACGTCAAAAACTAGCCTAAACCTGCATATCGTAAGTATGAAGAAAGTCACAGCTCACTCCATAAATGGTCAACAAATATTCCTTACATGGTCATTAAGATATAACTGACTATAAGCAAATCCTGATACAACACTACAATCAACACTACAGAAAATGTCAAAATATCACGTGATACACAGTCAGTACCGTGACTTGTCAAACTTTCAGATAAAATGTCGCTCCTTATATGGGTGCTATGCTATAAGTCCTTATATGGTCATGTTACCACTCCAAATATGGTAAGCTCTAACAAAACAAGGATGTAAACATATTAATAAAACAGTTATTCAAAATATGAGCCCAATATTTATGAACTTAGACCCCGTCCGAATGGCCCTTTACAGCATTTAGAACGAGTGTTTTACCCAATCTAAATTAACAAAATCATCGCTCACACGTGGAGTATCATCGCATTTCAGAGTGTCATAAATTAACCATGTTTTGGGAGCCAAATCGTTCAGTGATAATTCCAATATGATAGCGATGATTTTGAGTAAATCTACTGTGACCGGTAAGGACGAGGTATACAAAATGCTCATTGAGCAAAGAAGACCACCGTTAAGATGTGATAAAGTGGGCAATTTAGGGGGTTACCATGACAACCCCCGCAATATAGGGGGGGGGGGCACCATGACAACCCCCTACAATATACGTATAGTCCAGCCAATATACTTCACAACAACAATAACTTAACGTTATCTCTCTTATCACACTACTGTATAATACAACAAAGAATTTCGCGCGCAAAGTTTCTTCTTCGTATTTTCAGAGTTTCTCACTTCTCAGTTCATATTACAGTCTTAAAAAGCTGTCATATTGTCCAGATCACGTCGTGATGATGATGTCATCAATTCAGATCATGTGATGTCATCAGCTGGTTAGTTCCAGGGGTAGAATGTCTACATGTTGCAGTGTTGTTTTCTTCAGCTGTTAGGGGACGACATCCTGATTCTCTTCATTGGGTTGTCCAGGTCAGTCTCTGTAAAGGTAGCTGGTTATTCACTACTACTTACGCTTATTAGTTCTTATAGAGGCATTTTTTAAATAGGTGGCAAATATAGTTGGTTATTCAATAGCCCTTCTGCTTATCAGTCCTTCTATGGTCCTGTTTTAGATGGACTTGAAATTCAAGGGTAATATTAAGGGTAATGTTTATGCAGATTATTTAAAAATATTAATACTGAAACTTAAATAGTTTTCAACTTACCAGTATTTGGGGAAGTCCATGTCCGATCTCTTTTGACGGGCGCTAAATGTTTATAAATCTGCTCCAGGTCTGAAATTATTATTGATTAGTTATTTTGTTCAATCAATTTGTCAAATTAATATCAATTGTTTTAATTACTAACGTCATATAAAATATGAACTCCACTAGTATTTTAGAACCTTCTGACAGGTCGCAGGTTTTATTCGAATTGAAAGTTAAAACGTCTGATAATCGTAACAAATCATTTTATCTATCGGAAAACAGTGTGCACGCGAAAAACAGCCCACGTGCAATCACGTGACGCGTAAGTTCGTTAACTTGGCATGCTGCCCGAGAAATGCAGAGTAAAAATCAATACTCAATACTTAACAGTTCACAAAACTAGCGGATTTTTGTTTACTTTTGGCGTGCAGGAATTCCATTGTTACTGAATACGCGACAAGCTCGCCGAGCAGTTCATCTTATCGAAACATATTTGCAATATTTTGATTATCAGTCCCATTTAATCACGTCTAAAGAATATTTCGTGACAAGCAGCTATGTGCTATGAACTTTGAGCTAATGGAGGAATTAATTGGCTGGATTCCAGCGCGTCGAATACAAGTCATTCTTGTCATTTAATCGACATTTGTTCGACGGAAATCCTGGGCCACGATTGTAATAAACAATGAGCACGAGAGAGTGACGTGCTACATAACTTACATTTCAAATAACTCATATAATGCATTAATTAAACTAAGAGCGAATTATAACGCATATTTCAAATTTGCAAACTCTGATTTTATTAAAAATTTTGTTTCCTTATCCCGACGGATGATTCCGATAATTGAGACGACAATTAAAAAGGAACCCAGTATCAGGAAGAATTTTGAAATCAAATTTTCTCTGGGCCCTGTCTGGGGAAGTGGGCCCCTAACATCATCACCAAAGTAACCGTTACAAAACAAAACTAAACCAGTTGAAAAACAATACTCACGATTGCAAAGCATGAGATTCTTGGAGCTGGTTTCGCGGACGTGCTGTAACATTACGTGGAAAGCTTCATGACAACACTCCTGCCTTGGGTACTTCTGGGAACCTACACTTCTCGTCTGCTCCGTGTAGCTGGGATAGGATACTGATCCTCCTCCATCTGACTTGTCCGACTAAAGGGGATATACGTTATATTGGGGACTATAACAGGGAGGTAGTGGTTTAGAGGCAGATTTTGAGGTTCATAACTTTATTAATAAAGGGAAAAATGGAAATAGAAGGTAGTGACTACAGTTGGCTTTACTGCGAGACTTAACCCCAAAGAGAACCCAAGTCTTACCTTAGGAGAGAAGTCCCTAGGACAGCTGTTGATCTTGCTGGGAGAGGTCTCCATAGGTGAGCTGCCCTGCTCGCACTTTACAGTGCCGTTAGAGGGAGACGTGGAACCTCCTTCTTCTCTTCCTTCTTCTCCCAGTTTAAACGCAGGTACACTGAAGTTGGGACACTGTTAACTTACTATTTTGATTTATATATCGTCCACAAACTATAAGATAACTATGTAATATTCGGATATTAGACATCAACGTACAGTGTCACTATTCAAGATAACTACGCACAATCTCGCATATTTTGCAAGAGAGCAATAACTTTATAGAATATTGCTAAACTAGTGTTCTTTCTGTTTGATACAGCTTATATAAGCTGACTATGTATGTGCTATGGCTATAGCTCTTGACTTATTGATAACGGAGTATAACAATTATGAAGATGATAAAGATTGATAAAGAAGCAGATTATGAAGATAGTGATGGGTTAGTCAGTAATATGGTTGATAAATTCTAACATAAGATTCAGTTGGCTGAGTTGATTCTGCTAAAATAGCGTCTCACTGTTAGGTAATCGGTTTACTGGTCCGTGAAATTTGATTAATATTGGAAGATGTGATGCTCTTAAAACAGTAAGTAGCTAAACAGTAGGTAGCTAAACAGATACTAGCGTATTGGTGAGGCAGTTTAATAGATTTCATAATAGAGATGGGAGATGGAGTCTACGATTTTATCTGGATTGCTAAAACATCTTAACAAAAGCCAAGAGGGGAGGGTCAAACCTCGTACAATCCCCCCGAGTATTTATCAGTATTGGAAGTATTGTAAGTATTTATCAGTGTTGTAAGTACTGGAAGTATATGTGTAAGTGTTGCAAGTATTGGAAGAATATGTGTTCGAGTATTGTAGGGGCGTTTGCCAGTGGTTAAGCACGTATCTCAGGCTCTACAGCGCTCTATAACACTTTCCACCTGTAATGGTTACACGAACAGAATAAGCCACCAAAGATAGATCCAAACTTTCAACCATAATTACATTTCACGCTCTAACGAAGACACTGTAAACTTGTAAAAACATCTCTCTCTCTCTCTCTCTCTCCCTCTCTGAGAAGGGTGTGGGTGAGATTCTCTTTTTAACAATGGTAATGATAATAATAACCACGGTAATCAGATGAGGGATAGAGTTTTACAACTGATTGATTTATTCTCATAATTTGTTCCTAAAATTAATCCTGTCCTCACTACACTTATAAAGTAGAGGCTGCTCTCAGGGAATAGTACTCGAGTAAAAGCTAAACAATACCCAGATTTTCAGTGGCTAGGTGTTTTCTTGTTTTATGGAATCAAGTTAGACACTGTCTGATAGAAACCACAGTTAGCCAATCAGCGACCACAGCCGAGTCTGGCCCTCCAATCAGGAAGAAGTACTGTGTCACGTGGTCAGTCACAAACACCTGATGATGGCCGGAAAATCAGAGTATTTTCATTAATTTGATTCCTTTAATTCTCTACACTTGATTAACATCCTGTTAACAAGCCTCCTTCTTTTGTTAATCTCGTCAAATCTAACAGAATTTTCAAGAATCAGGTTTAACAATCGAACGTAAGGGTCTAATTTAGTTATTTATTGTAAGGACTTCAGATCGCAGTTGGCGCATGTGCAGTCTTCACATTCGGCCCATTTCTTGGAGGCACGAGCCAGGATGCAAAAAAAAACACGGAGTATTCTCGAACATCTTATGACGTCACGTGGCGTGACGGGAGACGTCACACTTCACGTCGCGTGACGTCACAGATTTTATTTGCAACGTCAAAATAAGACACGTGTTATTTACCACATGCTGTATACTAAATCTACACGTTGCAGACAGGATAATAAGACAATTACAACTCACTAGCCTCACGAGAAGTTTGTGGCAACTACTCATCACAATTCACAGGTCGCAGCAAGTAACCACGCACTTAATACGCAGCTAGTAGCCTTGCAGTATAATAGCTAGTAAGCTAGTACAGTAAACTATCTGCACTCTTAATGCAATCATGGGATGGAAGGAGTATTGTCTACCTCTGCACACAGTATCTGGGATTATTCTTCTTCGCAGTTCTCGCCAGTATTTGAGACTAAGCAGCGGGTTATATTATAAGGCAGGACAATAGGAGAGAAAACTTGCTAAAAGTATCAGCACCGTATTTATATCACTAAAGTAATAGGACTACCATGTGGATATAATGCTAACTGTGTATGTGGATATATGCTGTGGATATAATACTGGTATTACCACATTATCTAGCTGAGAATTATCTACTTTATTTTGCAGATCCTACCACAAATAAGTGAGGAGCTTCGGCTTTTACCGCTCCAATGTGAGCTACAACTTAGCCCAAAGTACCAAGCCCTTAATATCAGGGGTATTATTCCTACACCCCTGCTTAATATTCATGATTATTAGACACGTCTTGTTTTAACAAAACGCTAACCCGGATCCTTACCTAATCCTTTTATTAAATTTGTGGTTAAAATCAGTGGTCAAAACGTTTTCAGGACTTAATATCGGCGGATGAAAAGTCAATCTTCATTAGCCCCAAGTTGTCGTTAGAAAGCTTCCATACTGAAAGCCTTACAAGTCCCCTATTTAATCTAGTAGTAGTAAGTGTGTCCATTAAATTAATTAGTAGTGCCTATCTGCGGGGAGCAGTGCACGCGTCTGAGCCCCGTGGGGCCACAACAAAATATAGATATATCTAGTAACCCAATTAGGCACTGTAAAATAGGGGGTGCGACGTGGTGACACAGTCTCTGGCTGTCTTAATGTATACCTCCAATTGATGCTAATTTAATTGCAGGTAAGATTAGCACTACTGACATTTAATGTAGCAACTGTTAATGTTTCTCCTTTTCACTACTCTCCAGCCGTGCTCTACTCTAAATAGCCAACAATTCGTCAAACTCGGGGACCACCGGCAGCGAATCAGAGGTACAGGTATAGATTTAATAGAACTATAAGCACTGTATTTGTCAATATTTGGGAGGGAGCCGTTAGGTAGGTGTCATTGCTGTATTATTAATGCGAATATGGAGATTCGGAGCAGGGAAAGGGGCCATGTGAAATGTATACTGGGATAGGGTGATAGATATGCCAAATAGTAAGCGGGCTGAAAACTTAGCAGTACAGTTCCGACCCTTATTGTTGGCTAGATTTGCAGTTCAGCTAATAGAAGTAATGTATTTAGTAACTGTTACTGTCGCATACCAGAAGTTCTAAAGATCTTTTGAAATAGCTATCGTGTCGTGAAATGTGGGTGACTGTGGTATTAAGTGGCAAATACAACCCAGTAAGCAGTAGCTAAAGTGGTAAAAGTGGTAAAAGTGGTAAAAACATACCTGGTGGAGGATGTAGCGAGAGTCTGGATGATAGTTGTAGGTGGACTGCGGACGGAGGGAGTACTGACTCCACTGTTAAGACAGACTCCACTGCTCAAACTAAGAGGCAGGCTGGATGTTATCACTGGTAGTGTCGTTTTTACCTGGGGCAGGACATTCGTTATTTGTTGGGATTTCAAAAGACTCTGTTAAAATTATAATCACAATTTCAACTCCGAGAACTGTATATATGTTTTGTTTAAGACGCAAAGATGTGGGAGGGATTTTCAATCATTCTGAGCGTAATTCCAATAAAGGAGGACCATGCGCGCGCCGTTATGAGTCAACCCTGCGACCGGTTATTGGACATCACGTGACCTTATTATCACGTGGTTAACACGTGACAGGAGACTGGGGGGGGGGAGGATTCCCTCTACCAGACCGCTACCAGTTCCTGGGCCTCACCAGAAGCTCCACAACTCCGTGTCTGAACCTGGACGGACCAGAAACCAGTTGTAAACTGTACATGAAGTAGATCGGAAATATTTAGTTGTTAAACTCACCATTGAAGTGTTGGGGAAGATAAAGGGGTTAGCTGCACTCCCGGTTCTACTACCACTGGGCAAGGGAGACGTTCTGGACACTTTAGGAGACTTGCTGAAACACATAATGTTAGTAAGTGACCAGGTAAACAGGTGACTGGTTGGTTTAAACCTGCTTATCGGTTGTTATCGTCAAGTTCACGGATTGTTTTATCGGCTTGCCCTTCACGTGGAGGCTAGATGTCACGGATACAGTAGTGAACAGTACCGTGACGACCATGAATTCAGCGCACGTGTTCAGTTCCGAAGAACAATGCAGCTGTGTGCAGTGTTAAAAATCACGGAACCGCTCACTTTACCCTCTTATCACGAACCATCTTATTGGAAAGTGATGATAACCGTTGAGCCCTATTCTAAATACCCCGAATTAAAATTGCAATAATCCGGGTAATTAGATTTGTTGCGTTACTATCGGAACAGTTAGGCGTGCTGCTGATAAGGGAGAAAAGAGACTGTTAAAACCCCTCACATAATCCTCTTATTACCAATAACACCCTCAATACAAGGGACCTGCCGCGCTACTACCGTGCTTTTTACGGTGGAATTTGTCCGTCTCCCATTAAATGAACCTTATCACGGCCCTTCTATCCAGTCGAGTAGTCTACCCAGATAATGGTCCACTGCTCTTTCTCAATAAGGCCAATAAACGCCCTTATTATCTCAATTAGCAGTTTTAAAATGCCTGAATCTTCACAGTAGCTTAATCTACCATTGTGAGATCAAGGGGGTAAATATAACACTTTTAATGCACTGCTGAATGTTACAATATTAAGATATTTTATGCTGATCTAGCCGATAAGGTCATTGGCCGATAAGGCCCATTGAAACTTGCAGAATTTAGAAGTTTTATGAAAGGTTTTCCACGTAAAAGAAGCGATAAAACAGTCAGTGAAAGTTATCCTGAATATTACTGAATATTGAAAAGTAAAGTGTGCTCTCTCTCTCTCTCTCACCTCTCCTGGCTGTCGAGGAAGAGAGCGAACTTGTCCTTGTCATTAATCCACTCCCTCAGGATGTGGCAGATGTTCCTCTGCTCGTGAGTCAGCTGGGTCCAGGTCCGGGGAGCTGAGTTGAAAAGGTCCTGCAACACCTCCGGTCTGACTGAGAGTACTCTGGTAGCAAACCTGTCCTGGGGAGAGAAAGAGGGTTAGTGAAAGTGAAACAGGGGGTAGATAAATTAGTGAGAAAATGAATCTACGTATCATTCGTTAGATTTAACTTTCGTTTTCAAACATTTCGAAGCTTTATAAGAAGCCAGGGAATTTATTAAAAAAATAGATTTATTCAAAAATGAAATCTTTGCAAATTATTCGATCATTGATAGGTACGTTTTCATTCATCTTATTCGTTCTCTCGCTCAGCAATTGAAAGTTCGCAATAAAAGTTGAGAGAATGAAAACTTATTTCGGACCAATAAGGTACGACGAATGAGGGTCAAGCTTATGAAGAGCTGAGTTTATTGGTGGATACCTGTGATAGATTATACTGCTTCAGAAACTTGTGAGTCTCGGAGATGATGTTCTGAATCTCTGTCATCTCCATGCTGCTGAACAACAACGAGTCTGAAATATATGTAATATTAAGTGGAGGAACAGGGAGGTAATGTCAGAGTGGTATTTGTAGAACATGTCAGGATTATTCAGACTTCAGATTGCTCAATAAGTCCAAGTATATGATAGAGATTAAAGTTGCAGAGAAGACAAAAGAATCCTCACCGAAAGGCTTGAAAGCTGAGATAGAAGCGAGTTGTTCAGCCGGTTGTCTATCCAGCCAGTGGTTGATGGTGAGGAACACTTCCTTCTGGTGCGGGTTTAGTGTAATGTAGGGTCGGGGGTGAAGCAGCAGATCGTTCAGGGTCACCTGCAGGGGATAGTGCGTTATTAGTGTCCGTCCTGGTTGTAGCTCACGTACAAGTATATGTATCATTTTAAGTAGAGATAACAAACTTATTCTTATCTATTTGATCGTGTTATCCAGAATGTGGTGTTCAAAACTATTTCCAATAAGGGGTGCTTGTTTGGTAGTAACGAGGTTTGAAGAGTTCATCCATATCTCACTCTTGTTTTAGTAAAGCATCATCTACCATTACATACTCAGACCTCAGAGAGTGTGCGAGTAGTGAGTAGTGAGTAGTGAGTATTACTCAATAGATTACCCACTAGATTACCCACTGTGTAACTCACCATGGTGCCATTGTGTTTCCTCAACAGAACGCTGTCAATAAAGGTGTGTAGGGAGATGTTTAATAGTCTTAGTCTGTTCTTGAGAGCAGCGACAATCTTCAGTGTGTCCAGTTCTTTGTTTGCGTCTAATAAGAACGATTTGGATCGTCCAAGTAAGCCGTTCTGAAATTTAATGGAACTTTAGGGGTCTACTAAGTAGGGTCTAGGAATCTAGATAGGTGCTGCCTGCTGAGTATTTAGATAGTGGGAGGGTATAAACATCTGGGACTGGGACAAAGCTATAATCTGGCAAAGTGGAGTTTAATTTTGTGAAAACGTTTTGGCAGGTTCTAAAAGAGTAAAAGAGAAAGATTGTTGAGGAGGAATTAACCGATTATGTTGTTTACGCTATGTATTATTTATAAGCGCTAATCTGTGAGCACCAAGCCCCACAGATAGCCCCCCTCTGAGGAAGTTATCTGGAGTAACGTACCTGTAGCTCCTGGCTATGAAGAGCAGTGAGAGTGTGTAGAGGACTGAGCCCCGGTACCCGGCCCATTGGGCTCAGAGGGGGTAGTTGGGGGTGGAAGTCAGGTTTGAAGCTGTGCAGGGTGTCCATTGGGGAGGGGTACTTCACCATGGTGGGCAGGCACGAACTGTATGTCACTGAAATAAAGAGGACGATTAGATTTATAGTTTTAATACTGTTTTTTACAGTATTTCTAATATACTCATAACCTTGATACTGTCTGTAATGTTTCACCCTGATTAACGTGGTTACTAGTCTCCATACTGAGACTTAACCTGGTAACAATAGCAGTTTTCTTACGAACTGTAAACTGTTCCACGTCAATCAGATTTACGGTTTCAGATCCTCTGATAAAACCACCACATTATGGATAATAACGTGCTATTCACTGTATAACACTGTATTCTTACTGTTATGTGGATAATGATTTTAGTAGCTAGGTAATGTTATTATCGGTGGAGTTGCGCGTTATCACGTGGGCGCCGACCTTTAGTAGCTAATGGGCGGTACACAGTCAACAGACTGCCAATCAACACTATTATAAAGGAGTAGGGATGTTTATGATGCTATGATAGGGGTGGCGCAGACTCAAACAGATCTCGAAATACCTGGTGTTAACATTTGTTTTTACAAGAAATGAGAACATATTTTCAGGTCGGGGATTACTATTAGTTCGTTAGCTGGTCTGTAGTTCTGCACTGTGGAGGTTAGTGAACAGTACGTTCTATCACTTATAACTTAACCTTAGTTATCACGCACATTTCAAATTACTGGCGAGTCAAGCTGCAAGAAGATCAGACCTCATTGTATATGTTTAATTCAAAAGTCTGAATTGGGTCGAACAGGTCATGGTGGTTTACTTAGCACTTTCTAACGAATCAAAGGTTAGGTTTAAATGTTTACGTTATCGAGTGACCACGCATATTTAAAATAACCGCCGAGTCAAGATACATTCCTTTTATTAACTTTTATCCACTAACAAACTCTGCATACCAAAATGTTAACGCTGATTTTCGGTGTTATTTGGAGTATCGGTGAAGGTCAGATAAGCGCTGCATAGCTTTACCAGTGTGCACATAAGCTATATTTTAGGGGGGGGGGGGGAGAGTATTGACTAGTTGATGAGGTAAGCTATATTTTACCAGCAGGAGGGGAAGGTATTGACTAGTTGATGAGGAATTGAGGAGGACAATGCTACAAAAGGTATGACGAGAGTGATAGGACGGTAGGTGAGGAGTTATCAGAGTCTCTATTTCTGGCTCTATTATCTGTTACTTACTTTGTGTATTGTCACTTTAGAGGAAAGGACTTTTAAAGCTCTGTGAAGCCGAATCATTTGAGGTTGGCATTGCTGATAGTTACTCCATTCAACCCCCAGTTTATGTGTAACTCAATTAAGGAAACTTGACATGAACTATCAGATATCTGTCGACTGTGGTACTAATTCTGACTTTTAAAGACAAACCTTCGCCCGAAAATCTATGAATACAGCAGCGGTTAAGCTATCACAGAATCTGTCGAGGCAAACAATTAATCAAGGAACGCCACTATAATATAACTTTTAACTTTAAACTAACTAACCATCGTTTTTAAAGAGAGAGTTGGATGAAGGGCAGTGAGAAAAGAAATTGGTTACAGTGCAGTACTCCAAGCCTAGATCCTCCGCAAGCTTTTCCTTGACCATCTTGGGGGGTGCTCCTTTGTAGAGTTTAAACTCGTGCTCTAAGACTGGTATAGCCTGCAGAGAGAGAGAGGATGGTTAGTATACTGATGTTAACAGACTGGTTAGAGGGGCTGATAGAGGCTGGTTTATCAGACTAGTTTTAGTGAGCTTTATTGGTTTACTATCTGACTTAATATAGTGTTATCTGAGTTAGTCTAGTGTTATCTTAGTTAATAAAGAACAATATTATGGAGTTATAGTGCTATCGTTATGAGCTGGTGAGTTTAATGAGGGATGATCCTATAACTAAAAATGTGATGGTTGGTGGTATCCCGATTCCTGATTCCTGGTTTCAAAATTCACATGTAAATAGCATAAATAAGATGAAGTACATCTGCTCTGACAGTAGGTCTGATTTATCCGGACACTCTCACTTCATGTTCTGTTCCCCTCAGACGGGGTTGACAAGGCTCGCTGGACTTGATGGTAGTGATAAAAGTAATACAAAGTGGGAGATATAATAGATTTAAACTATTAACGCATTGTCAGTCTGGCCCTAACGAGTCGGTCATGTGATCTCGCCCGCGTGATAACGCACAACTCATACTGTTTCTGATATCACGTGGTATTACTGAACCCATACCAGACAGGCTCCCATATGAAATACATACCCCACTCATTCCATTATCAGGATGTTAGAACCAGAACTGAGTTAGAAATAGCATTGTTTCAGACATGGTCAGTTTATCAAGACACACACGTGGGACTTTATCAACTGTCACGTGGTGTTTTATTTACCAATTTTCACACGCGGATACTCGATACAGTATAATATTGGTGGAGTTAACAGTGTTAAGAGTGTTTATTGGTGGGCGGAGTAGTTTACAGACGCAGGAGTGAGGGAGGGTGATAATGGAGAGGGGTCTATACAAATACACATCCTGATAACGATTAGCCCATCAACTAAACCAGATCACTGGTCACTACCAGTTACTGGTCAGTTACTGGTCCTCTCGCAATTCGCACTGTCGTGATAGCCTGCAACACAGGACACAGTCGAGTGGCGAATATTTCAAGTAATTAGATTACAATGAACGGTGAAGTGTTGAGCAAATCATTCTCATTCACTTCACCGACCTTCCAACCAATAGTCCCCCTCTCGGCCAATCACAGCGCAGTATTCCTGCTGTGGACCAATCAGAGAGAGGATCACAGCCCATGTGATCTAATGAAGAGTCTAGACCACGTTAACACTTATTTGATATGAAAACAGGTTCTGATATAAAATCCGTGACGTCTGGCAATGTTGCAACCGAGGAATGGAAACATCGCACAATTTGCTAAATAATATTGCAGATTCTGGTGAATACCCAGCTTATACTTGTAGATTAAATTTTCTCTAGAATGAAGATATCCTTTTGAAAGAGTCCTCAGAGCTATCAAGCGCATCCATTGCCTAGTAACGGACCTAGAAACGCGCCACGCAACAATCACCACGGCCAAGCGCAGACTCGCCCGGAGTCAGCTAGTTACAATATCACCAATAAATACTGGCGATACCAGAGCTGCTGAAAGAGACGCTAATTGCAGGGTGAGTATCGGGTTGGGGTTTACAAAGCTATCTAAAGTAGCTCCTGACTACTATAGGGTACTTGTCGAGAGTGGGAGACACTTGCTACACTACCTTCACTCACAGTTCTAGTCTGGATACACTACCTTCACTCACAGTTCTAGTCTACTACGAGGGAGGATAACGATTAGACTACCCCTGCTTAAGTAGTGTTTATTGATGCGAAGAGCTGGAGCAGATTAGGGTAGTGTTAGTTTCTAGTTGGAGGTGAGCAGTGTTACTATGGTTACCCACACTGTTTCTAGGTCGGTGTGAGTTGATACACGTGTACTGTATCGTGGGTAGAGAAGCAACTTAACACGTGTTACTTTATACTGTAAAAATACTTGTTATTAATAATTCGTTACACTTCAACAGTCTTACTGGAACAGATAAGTTCGTACATTTTAATGCCTGGTTAAGCAGAGCAGCAGGCATTTTGTTAAACTCAACAAATATCTCCCAAAAGGTTTTATATAATACAGGAACATCAGTTCAGCAGGATAAGCTGTTAGTAGTGGTTTGCCTGTAGAATTATGTAACGAAGTGAACGTGTTGCAATCTAGATCAAAGAGAGGATATTCCCATCAGATAGGAAAGTTCAACGAACTAAACTCCGTAACCCCTTAGGTAGTAGGGAAATATAGCTTTACTGGATTTACAGTTTAGATTGGATTTATGGTTGAAATGGTTTCATCTGCACAACATGTTCATCTTTAAATATCAAATGAGCAATAAAATCGATCAATAATAATCCGGTGAGCAGCTTGAGAATTGATTTCCGCCATTTCAAGGTTAAATCGTTTTAATAATATTATCAATTAACTGAGAGACGCGGAATTGTGAGTAGTGTTTCTCAGCGGTCATAGGCCGAATTAGTAGTTAAACGGTAGTCGGTAGGCCAAATAATAATCCCGCTTCCGAGTAGTTGTATTGTAATGAGGCCGGGGTATCGTATTGGAGGAGGAACTCATCATCAGGTGATAGTATCGTCACGTGATCAGGTCATGCCACGTGAAGTAATACTGTGAATGAGAAAAAGGATTTTCATAAGAAAGTAATTTGGATGGTGGTTCAATGAGAATTGAGATTATTGAAATCCACTAACCTGAGTTGGGATCTGTCTGAATCTCTGGAGAGATTCCTCCTTGAAAGGAGCAAGTCTTCGCTCGTCCGGGAGAAGCAACCACAGCTTCATGAAACAGTAGATCAGCTTTCCTCGGTCTGATAGTCGTCCCCACGGCTTGGGGTGGCATAGTGCCTCTGAAAGGATGTACGGGTTAGGTTTTACAACGCTTTGGAATATAGTTTGACGTCATGTCAAATGATGTGACGTCATTTCAAAAGATGTGACGTCATGACACGTGATGTGACGTCATTACACGTGATGTGACGTCATGACACGTGATGTGACGTCATGACACGTGATGTGACGTCATGACACGTGATGTGACGTGGTCTACAGTGGCCACCATTACGAAACTAATCCCGAGAATAAAGATTGCAGTAATCTTCATTTACTATTAGATAATGGTAGTCGTGATAATGTAATGTAGGTTAATCAGCAGTTACACAACAATTTAGACAAGGGCCCCGAACCAGAGACAGTTTGTTATTCAAAACAGTTATCAATTTCAGACATCCACTATTCGATTGTAATACACGTCCCTTATCACTGATTTTAGGGCAGCACACATCTCCTTCAATTCTAATTAGAACAATCCTCTAGTTAGTCAGAATAATGTGTGGTGGTGATTAGAACAGCCCCCCCCCCCCCCCCCCCCCCTAGTTAGTAGTTAGCATTTAGCAGGGATACCACCACCACCGCGTGGTGATACAAGGTGAAGTTTGTGACAGGAGCCCGGTACTACGACTATACCTAGAGTTTCACAGACCTCCCCTCCTGCTCACTGCTCAGCCAATCAGCGGGCTTCATTTCACAATCCTGCCACTTAGTGGGGAGATCTCTTCGTCACGTGATTGTTACGAGATCAGCTGACCTTTTCAGGTCAAAGGACCGATTAGGCTAGTTGTATCGTGGATAAATCCGATTATACAAAACATCTGGATCCGAAAATTAGAACTATTATCAAATTTGAATTAGAATGACAGGGCAGTTTAGGAGGGCTGACAGTACCAAGTGTGTATTGTGGGGGGCTGGTCGGTAAAAAGAAGAGGGGTGTTCACTGTGCTCTACTGAACACATGGTTAACTCTAACTGGAGGGAGGCGGTGAGAGTGCCGATATTATTACCAGATCCCTCCTGTCAATCACCAGCATATAATAATAATAGTTACAGATATCACATTATCGGGAGATGCTGGTGGTAGAAGTATGTTACATATTGTTCTAACATTATTGCCGGAGAGTTAGAGTCATGTTTCAGACACACTCCGTGATTGTAACAACTCCGTGCTGAACTTATAGACGCTTTCTGGAATCACTGAGCTCAATTATTATAATGGTTAAAGATCATCCTCAAGTGCAAAACTCATCCCTTATATGTCACTTAGTCTCCTTAGATCAGCTGCTACTAGGACCAAATCAATACGATCGCCCTCCTGACCTTCATTATCTGCGGAACAACTTCTAACAGCCTGGAACTATTTAACGAGCCAGCACTTAGAATTACAGGTGCGGGTAGATACCCGACAATTAATTTCATCTTCCAATCATAGAATTATATATCATTCCAAAGTAGTTGTGGTAGGTAAATGGTTACCAGTGGTTACTAGTGGTTACTAGTGGTTACTAACAGTAACCAGGGTGATGATCAGGACGCATCGTTCACTCGACCAGAACAACCACCGGGTAACACTTATACAGTCACGTGGTGAGCAGTACCATCGGTCTCAGATATTACTTGTTTCAACTGTTTATGTGCCTGTTCTGTGGTACACGTGCTGATTAAAGGAAGACTCTGCAGATCTCACTTCTTAGCTGATAGGAGACAATTTATAGTTCAATTTGAAGTGGTCTCCATTTTAGGACCTTTTACTTTGACCTATCTTGTGTGCGGTAAAGTCCGCAGAAAAAACCGTGAATGTGCACGTGCATTAAGTACCGTGAATGTGCACGTGCAGAAAGTACCATGAATGTGCACGTGCAGAAATGGCTGCGCGAGACTTCAAACAGACGGACCCAAGAAGATTAAATGATATTTACAGAGAGAAAGACAGGTGATATGATTTATAATTGGAGCTGAGTGGCCGATAAGGAGGAGGAGAATGGTAATCTATAATATTCTAACAAGATGCAGCTGTAGTACTTAGTGGTTAACTTACATTTGTTACAATATCAGATGAACAGAGAACTTAATAAGAGATAGCTGTAGAGTCTGGGAGCTTACTTCAAAAACTGGAGGAGGAAATTTAGTAAAATTGTTGTTTGTCCCTACCAAAAAGAGGCTTGGTGAAGAATGTGTTATGTTCGAGATATTTCTTTTCGGATCACAATATATCATGAGATATATGTCAGCTTTATCAAATTTTATTACTGATAAGACGATAACGTGTCCTAGCTATGATAAGGTGTGCCGATATGCACGAATATTTGAATAGTTTTAATGTTTGATAAGACCACATTGTGACACATATTACATAGTACTGATAAATTTGAAATAAACCTAAAACTAGTGATTAGCAGTCACATGACGTGACCCTGATGTCTCATTACCAAGTTTTACGAAGTCTTAAACTAATTGACCCTCACTTCACAACTCAATCCTCAAGATGCGCGGCTCAACCAAACGCCATAAAAAAGACATGCTCCTTTATAAAATACTCTGTGTTTGTCTGAAGTGTAGCAGAAACGCCGGGAGAAGAGTAGGTGAAGAAACTAACAGTTAGCAGAACTAGAGGTCAGTTCTACTCAGAGGACGGTTAGGACGTTCTGAAGAAAACCATCCTGTCTACGGAGATGGTGGAGGAGTTTTAATGATATTGGTTAGATTGGAGCCTGACAGCCATTCGTGATTCAAAATATGTAGTACAAATTAGGAACTATTTTGATATTTCACATTTTAGGGGTAAAGTAAGGGTTATTCTGGCCGTTAGGTACTTGAGTGTATAATTTAAATTCCCAATCTATCGTGTATCTGGCCCACCAAGTTCTACTCTGGGATCAAATTCGTATTTGAAACTTGTTTTGAGGGGAATTTAATGAAAATTCAAAACCGTGTGTGATCCCTGGAATGTGAAATAATTATAAATTAGGTAAAATCTCCAACTAATGATGCACTCGAGTCCTTCGCCCTCGTGACTTCTACCCTCGTGACCAGTTCTCGAATTCCGCTACACTCAAATATACCAAATAGTTTATCTCCTACTCTAGGGTAAAATTCATATCTGAAAATGCTCATTATTAATGAAAATTTCCATTTAAATCTGAAGTTACATAAAGGGGTAATTTTTGGGCTGATCGTTCTCCAAGTTGGTAAATATAAAGGCAGGAAGACACCAACACTGATACAATGTTCAGGAAACTAATCTTAAAACACTTCTTTAGAAACTCCCCACTATCAAATTCATAAAATCTTTATTTTCCACCACATTTAGTTTATATTGACCCTGATCTCCAAGTTTCATAGTTATGGCTAGCAGAGATCAATGCCAACTGTTCAGAGTAATCCAGACTCAGAGAAACAGCCAAACAGCCCAATATAATTGCAGACTTGAGAAATACCACTGCCTCCCTCACTGATTGTGTAGTCGGAATAGACTTGCAAATTCCCCTCCCCAATAACGGTCACTTACACTACCGACTATTTAGTAATTATGATATAACAATATTATCTGGTTTGTCTCTGGTTCTATGTTATCTCTGATAAGAGGATCTGCAGTGGTGCCCCTGAATAATATCCTACTCTCAGAAAGGAATCTCAACAACCTGCTAACAATCGCTTATAACAATAACAAGGCAGCTAGTAGATACTGCAATTAAAGGACAATGAGACTACTTGTTCCATAATAATACCAACAATATGTTAATTCTGGTACAAGTTCCACCTCCCCTCCTCCTCTCCTTCTCCCCCCTCTTGCTCGCCGTATCCTCTACCCCCTCCCCCTGTCCCTGTGGCGGGTGGCCTACATGCTGTTATAGTTAGCAGTAGTTTGTACACTACCCCTGACAGGGCTCATATGAGGGAGTTATTGTCCTGCTCAATTCTATCGTCTGTACAGTTTAACCCACCCTCAATAAACGATAATCACCACCCCAATAATAAAATAATTAAGGAACAACGCAGCTTTTAGTCTAATAGTCAATATAATGACAGTTGCAGGTCAGTTTAGACTGAATATATTAAATAATGATAAGCCGGTCTCAGTAGTAGATGTGTAGGTATGTAAGTGAGATATAAGGGTTCTGTTGTGGTGTGTATGTGTAGTTATTTGTTATTAACAATGTGTTTTATGAAGGAGTGTAGTCCCCCTCCCCTCCTCCCCGCTCCACAAAGGACACACCACAACTTGTTTGTCCCACTTATTCACCAAAAACATGAATATTAACAAGATGCAAATTCTTCCACTCTCTCGGTTAATTAACTTACTGTAATTAAGTGTAATTATTTGTTATTAACAATGTGTTTTATGAAGGAGTTCAATGGTTGAACGGCAGTCGGTATGAAGGGGAGTGATGGGCCTGTTGATAATGGAATTAGCAATGAGCCGACCCAGTTATTAGCATAATTGGACTCTTTACTTTTAACAATGTGTTTTATGAAGGAGCACTGATCAGGGCTCGTCTATATCGGGCACCAGGGAGAATCTACAGACAAAAGAACGTTAAATCTCGATGCTTACGGAGAGGCCAAAATAAAAGGAGCAAGTTAAATTTTAGAGATTTGGGGATTCTACAATTTATGGCAAGACCTAGACTAACTTGCATGTTTAAAACAATTTAAAAGTTTTTAGCTTCACCAACGTAACTGGATCTTGGAGATGTGGTACAATTCTAAGAAATGTGTGTTTTTAAATAGTGGTTATACTGTATAGGGCACGTAAATCTAGAATACTTAAATAGTTAGATTAACTTATACCACTCCTCTCTGGGGGCTAACGTTACAATCGCTACTTTTACTAAATCCTAACTTAAAACACGTGTTAGACACCCCTTTACTTAACCACGACTCCTTTATAATACCAGGTCCCACCTTGAAAAGACGTAGTCGCAGCAGAGAGATTGTATTTTAGACGGGGCGGGCAACCCCGGAACAGGGTCAGAAGATAGCCGGAATATGCGGTGAAGTTTCCCTCCCTCACTAA